TGGGACTTTTACTTTCATACGCTTGATCGCTCCTAGTTTTCATGTGATTTACACCCAAAACCAGTCCCGCCTACATTGTTCTCTTCGGTTTACCTCCTCTTTTGTTTCAATATAATGCTATGACATTCACTTTAAATTGCGCGGACATATCGAATATAAGAAATTATCCTTTAATAAATTGATAGCACTGTGAGAGACATTTGTGTCAAATAGCACATCGTAAACATCATTAATTTTTCAGCGGTGCTTGGCTTTGTACAACACAAAATGTATCCTCTCCTATTATTACAATATGTGTGAGTATATGATTTCTGATTATCCATAAATCGTTCGTGAGATGCAACATTTCGGGAGATGAGATGTGGATCTACGCAAATGACCCGAAAGCAACTGATCAATCGAGCGAATGTCGTGCAAAGACCGAAAAAAGCGCTCCAAAATCACTCAAAAGTCCGGGTGACTTTAATAGTTTTCTTCGATTGTAGGGGCGTGGCGCACTATGAATTCTTTCTCTTTCGAGCCAAACTATTAACAAGGAGAATATTATTTGAATTTGAGGAGGTGACGAAACAGTTTTGGAGTAATAAATGGGTTTAAAAGAGAAAAAAAAATTGTTTTGAATTTTTGGAAAGAATTTTATTCAAAAACTTTTGATTTTTATTATTATTATTATTTATTTTTATTATTCATTATTATTATCATCCATTAAAACCCATGTTTTCATTCAATAGACAAATAAACTGAGTGTCTCCGTAACAACGACTCTCTACCCCAAGCATTAATTTACAGACCGTTATAAATTCAATCCTTCATCCGTCAATCAACATATAATTTCAAAATATCACTCACTCTTGCCCACTTCCATGTCTGCCTTCCCGCCTCCTTATGATAATTGATTGCTTCTGTTAGCCTTACCATCACTTGAGAATCATAGATTTATCCTCGATATTGTCTTTTTAATTAAGTTAGTTAATGGTTAAATAAACCTTAACGTACCTAATCGCTTCTCTACGAACTTTATCTTCATTAAGCTTAGTGAATGTAAATATAATTATGAGCTGTTCAATCCGTTCAGAGTTGTTTGCAGAAACCGAACTGGTGTTATTTACTGTACCGGTTGCCAAGCGTTTGCATATTTGCAATAGCTTGGGGGTTCACTTGCAACTTGGATCTGTACTTGTTGTGGGTGTGTCTCTGTCCTAGTTGTATATATGTTTCTTTTCTCTTTCGTTTTTCTTTCTTTTTTATTTATTTTATTTATACATGAATTATCCTCTTTTCTTTACTAATCCTTATACAGTTGTATTCACTTTTAATAATAATTACTATAAGATTTACTTGTAAGAGGCTGTTAATTTAATTGAACTGAGCTTCACATGTAAGTAAATAAATAAACAGCCAAGCGCAAGAAAATCAAAATGTAAAAATTTTCTAATCCTTGGCTTGATATGTTTACATACACCAAAATTTAAAATGAATGGATTGGTTAAGAACTTAACATCTGTCATTGCCTAGAATTAAACATCAACATGGAATACTCTGCCCGCTCATTATAGTACTAAATCTAAGCTTCAAAAACTGGCTTTAAACTTTTTAAAAGAAACTATACAAGAACATGATGGTGGCCATGATTCCGTTGAAGATTCCATTTGCAGTTTAAAATTGGTGAAAATGAAACTTGCTAATAGCGTTGAATTTGGTGATGCAGTTCTCACACAAAAGAAACGCGTGCATGATATTATTCGAGCGGCTAGTGAAGATGCTGTCAAGAATAATCTTTTCGCTCATGCAAACGTACGGGACAAACGAACCGCGATCACAACATCCAAATCACTACCTAAGGCGGTCCAAGAACTTCTGAAACAATCTGATAAAGCTCAAGGCAATAATCCCAACAAGTCCGTGATAATGTTTGAATTAGTGTCTCAACAAGGAAGCGGTTCGAAAAACAAATGAAATTTCCCTAGAAAATACTCTGACACTTACTAACTTATACGTAACTGCCGAACAGTTGCTGCCCACCAGCATGGATAATACGTGTGAATAAGCTAATGTCTAATATCTAATGTGGTTAATAGTCATTTGTAGAATATATTGGTGTGTTTAGTAGTCATTTGTAGATGGTATTTTGATCATAATTCATGCAAGTGTGGTTAGTAGTCATTTGTAGATGGTATTTTGATCATAATTCATGCATAATCAAAACAGCTGATTGGAATGTGTTGCGTAAATGTTGCTAGCGAAATGTTTCATCTTATATAATATATACAATGTTTTTGCATAATGTAATATATGCGTATGTGTGGTTGAACGTGAATTTAGTCATAACAAGCTGGGTTCGATTCCGCGCAGACTCGTCCGAAATTTATTTTTGTTTAAATGGCATTTTGGCAAAGTTGAATATTGACGAAAATGTACAAATTGATAATAATTTTATATATGTATATATTATTTAAAATGTTATAGATGTCTTGTTTAAAGCAAAATATATAATATAACAATAACAGTTAGAGGAAAAATTTGCAAATGTTCCCCATTTCAGTTCTTTACTCTCCCCCCTACGATCTTTAATGTCGTTTGTTTATATCGGATGCCTTGGATTTGTACTTAATAATTTTGCTGTCCCACCTTATACATATATAATATTTTCGTTATATGTTATTTTACATTTTAAATGGGATATACATGGATACTAACTATTTGTGTTAATAAAATTTTTTGAATAAAATTTTTTCCTATTATCTCGATATATAAGCCACAGTTGTCATTGGCATAGTCCACTCAAACTCAACATTAAAAAAAAAATAATAATTTAGTGCGTGAAGAATGATGAATTCCAATAACTTGAATTTGAATAGGATATCGTTAGTTGACTTAGCAAGTTGACTAGCAAGTTCCCCACTGTAAAATCCCGGCGTAGACTTTTTGTGAAAATCGCCTTCCTGGGTAACAATGATGACATTGCACTTTATGACACCATTTGCCAACAATTAAAGATAATTTCACAAATTTACATTTTTTTCTACTTTATTCTGTCATCAGTTACAGTGCTAGGCCAGTTTTCCCATAAAGTTTCTCTGAAGGTTCATAGCATATTTGCAGTTTTGATATTTCTTAAATATGAGTGCCTGAGCGTATCACACTGTTGGAAAATATCGGTTCTTAAGACGTGAGCAAGTGTGGTGTGACAAACGATTACGACACGATGACATCAGTTGTTCAAGGTCTGCTAGTGGGTTATCAGGAAGCTTTTCTTTATAAACAGAGGATTAAAAATCTCTGAAGATTTCAGCAAGCGGTTAAAAGCTGGACTTAATATTTTTATACCCACCACGGTAAGATGGCGGTATGCTCATTTTAGTTTTTTCTACAATGTATGTAACATATGTAATTCTGACTTGATATAGCCATGTCTGTCCGTCTATGTGTCTGTGTGGTGTGTGTTGTTGGCACTCTCCTGATCGCAAAAATGAAATATTCGACGTCAAGTTTGGTAGAAACATTATAAATTTCTGCACGCACACTGGTATTGACAATCAAAATCAAAATTGGTCAATAAAGGAACGCGCAGAGGAGCGTAAATTGAACGCAACTCAGTCTTTTTTAAGAAAAATTTGTGGATTTTTGCAGGTTACCGAGAAATTATTAATGTTAGAAGATTACAATTTTTCACATTTACTTTACGAAACACTCTACTCTTTAGGTACACAAATGGAACCAATCGGCCATGCCCACACAATGTTAAGAGAAATTAAAATTTTTTTTTCTTACCTTTTTAAGATTTTATGCTCATTTTTCATAAAGCAAACAAGACAGAATATTTAAAATTATTTTGTATACTCCTTAAATCAAGACATATTATCTGCCTAAAAATAGGTTAATTTTAAAATAAATATCGTAGACATCGCGATTAATGTTTTCCTTATAATATCAGCGATATGGATGCCAAGTAAAAGAACTTGGAGCGTAGAATACGAAAAGTATAGTGGTGGGTGTACGAGATTCGGCTACTGCCGAGTATAACTTTCTTACTTGTTGAATTTATTGTTGAGGTTTGTGACTATCCCAAGTTTACAAGATCTCTTATTAAAACTTCCAGCAGGTAGATTTGCTTTGAAACTGTATTATATTCTTAGCTAAGCCTATTCTCGGATCGACAATATATTTTCTTTAAATCTCTTTATGACCTGTCCTTGACTTCAAAAAGAATTTTTTATATTTCCGGAGATAGGCATATTTCCGCTTCGCATCTCGATTGTGCCAGAGACCCGCATAAATATGCATGATCAACGTGAAGCTCTGGACTGATTAAGTCATACCTGTCTGCCTGGTGTGTTCCTCACACTCTCCTGGTCGCAAAAATATCGACTTCAAATTTGATAGAAACAATGGAGATCCTTGCATGTACGTTGGTATTGAAAATGGGCTAAATTGGTCAGAGGACAAACTCGCAGTGAAACGTAAACTGAACGCAACTTCATTTTTCTCAACAAAAATTTATGAATTCTCCCTTATTACTCACAAAAATGGAAAAAGTCGGCCATGCCTACACATAATTACAAGTGATTACATTTTCCTTTTTTCACTTTGTTGAAATTTTATGCTTGTTAATCGTAATGTAAACAAAACAGAATGTTTAAGACTATTTTGTACATTCCTCAACTGAAGATATATTATCTGTTTAAAAATGCAGCGATGTGGGTAACAAATGAAAGGACTTTTAGCGTAGAATGCGACCAGCAAAGTGTAAAGTATTTCGTACTTTACCGTCCGTATGGATACCAAATAAAAGAGCTTGAAGAGAATAATGCGAAAAGCGAAATATGTTAAATCTAAATTAATTATCGTCATACACGGTGCAATCATTTTTTTTAACAATACCTTTTAATAAAGTAAAAGGTGAAAGATAAATTTTATTGTAAATTTTACTTTTTTGGTACAATAGCATAAGCCGCCAAAGATTTTAATGGTGATGGGCATGCCAGATACGGTCCCAGCCAAAAATAACATTCTAGTTTATTTCTACATAATTCGAAAAAAAGACATAACTTATGTATAAGATTTTATGTTTATATATAGCTTATATGGATAAATAAATAAATGTAAGCTATAAACAACTTCTGTACAAGACGCGGCACTCCTTTCTAACTGCGAGACTGTGAGGAGCGTCGTGATAGGATTTGTTATAAAAACACGTGGTCCGATTAAGGTTAGAATAACCTCTTGTTGAAAGATCCTTGTATGTAGAAAAGTTCAAGTAATAAACATTGAATAAATAGCATACAAGAAAGTTGATTAACGCTTATTTCAATAACCTATTTCGTTTCCACATTTCATTTAATATCCTTTAAAAATATTCTCCATCTACTCCACTCCATTTACGGTGTTTATATTGGATTTCCATGCAATCTATGCAAAACTATTGGAAAATTTTCACTTATCAGATAATCGTCCTTGAAGATAATCACCAAATTTACTTCAAATTCTATTAAAGGCAAATATATAAAGTAGAACTATTACAATAGGGAAAAACATTTTTACAAAGGCCTAAGCTTACCTATCTTAAAGTTTTTTGTTATTAAAGTTGGGCAAGTAAATAAACGGGGTAGTATCATATAAAGAGGAATGTCCAACTTAGGACAAACGTTGCCATCCGCAATTTGTATAGTTTCAATTTCGGTAGCATCTTTGGCGTAGCCCTCTTCACTTCCGCAAGTCTCTATGCGCAACAATTGCAATTCTATAGATTTAATGGCAGCTTCCGTGTGTTGCACGGTCAATTGCCCTTTTAGAGGTTGCGTCAAGCAGAATTCGGTACGTTCCAACTTGCCCGTTATTAAAAATCTTGGCATTGTTATACGCTCCTTCATATTTTTTTGTAAACTATCTGGACTGATACTAAAATGCACTTCCTTGTTAGTTAGTTTCACTGCCTCAGATGGAGATCTTTTATATTGTATGCAGAACTGCTGTATTTTATGCAATGATTTCGCCAAGAAACTGCGCTTAACATCGCAACGCAATTGATAGTTAATATAAATAAAAATACCATGATAGGTCTCATAAAGTATACGTGGTTCTTTCTTACACGCTAGCGGGAATTCGAAATGAAATTCTGACACCCCGGCAAATAGTTTACCAGGAGCTGACAATTCATAAGTGGAGTTTAGAATCGTTATGGGTTTTAACGAATTATAGAAAGCTGCCTCCATTAAGCCAACTGATTTGCTATTACTAAGATGAAGATTTACCATACCCTCCAAAGTTAAGACAATACCATCGTGTTTTGTTTCAACGGGGCACTGAAATTGAACACAGCCCGTCAAAAGTTCCTAAACGGAAATATATTTATCAATTTTCTTAATAAAGTATTGTATAATATAAAACTTACTCCCTCATAATAAATTTTATTTTCCCGTTTTAATTTTATTTCGAAATTTATGCTCATTATTGTTTTGAATTGGATTACCGAATAAGTATAAGCAGAAACAGCCGCGTTTACCACTAGCAATTCATTATAAAAAGTGTAGCCAAGTTAACAGATTAGCAGCTGTTCTTAAAAACAAGATTACGCTTTCGAAAATTCACAAATTTTCTTTAACTGGCTTAGAGGAAGTTCGAAAAATGCCTCGCAATCCTAATGCTGAACGTGACAATCCATGTCTTAAGGTAGTAGTCTGAAATTTATAATCATAATAATGAAATTTATAAAAAATTCTCTACAGGAACAAGAATTGTCTTATAAATGTTTAAGCAAGCATAACTACGAAAGAGGACCCTGTGAAATTTATTTTGCTAATTATAAAAATTGCAAAGAATTTTGGGTAAATTACCTTAGTACAATTTTGTATAATTTAATAATGGGTTTAATAATTTAAAAGGGCCGTGTAAAGTCCGAACGTCGGGCAAAAGGAATTGAACCATACTTACCGCCCGTAGAGGAGAGGGCTGCCATTAAAGAAGAACATATAAAAAGTAACTCGCGAAAGTAGAAAACACATCAATTTTTTAGCTTGTTTCAAATTTGTAAATAAATAAATTTTAATATATATCGTTTAAACGTGTACAGCAGACGCACTGTTTATTTTTAAATTAAGTAGAACTTCCTGGAGCATAGAACATGATAATTCAAATTCTATGGATTCCTTAACGTCGTCCACAATTAATAACTTCAAGGAATTTAAACGATATAAACATGATAAACCGCGATACGTGCACTTTGTTCCAGATATATCCAATACTTCTATTTTATCAAATTGCGAACCGGAAACGCGGTCTAGGCACCAATCATCGAATGTGCCAACATTGTGAAAAGATAGAAACTTTAAATGTTGCAGCCATCTTATATTGTCCAAACCCTCGTAATACAGCGTCATATTGTCACATTTTAAGCCTTCCACTTTAAATTGAGGATCAAATTTGGAAGGTAAATTAAATTCGCCATCTTCATTGGCTCGAATCCAACCAGGCATATTAAGAAATTTTACTGCCCCTCTACGGTATAAAACGAAATGAGCTGACGCTAAATCACTGCCCAAAATATTATGTCTTTCTGGGACGAATTGTTGCATATACCGCTCTTGTTTTTCCTTTTTGTTCTTCTTAGCTAATAGCCATGAGCTTATGTCCATAGGTTTTTGCATCATTACTATATAATCTGACGTTTGATCATCATTCCCAAAGAGCTTCAATTTACTTTCGAACCCATCAACTTGGGGAGGAGTTTTACGCCAACTCAACGCCTGTTTATCCGCTTCGAATTCTTCACGTATACGTTTTAAAAAGGGAGATCGTTCTTTATTGGGATCCCCAGCTAATTCTCGTTGGCACAAGATTAAAGTGCGTTTTAAAACACGCGTTGTACACTTCCGCGATATATTCAACATAATTTCAAGAATTTTACCGAAATGAAAAACTTTGTTTCCACTAAAATAACAATGAAAAACAGCTGCTGCGAAATTGCTCTACGTATATACGTATATACAAATGTTACCAAGTCGTTTTTCTTTAATTAGGAAAAAAGGTGGAAAAACCAATTTAACACTTTATTTTATCCAAAACTATATATTTTTTACAGATTTTATTATATTTTCTCATATAATTTCATGTATTGTCCATCTATAGTAACACATATTAAAGAATTGAAATGAAGAGTTGACTTTAGTCTTCTAAAATTTGATAATAAAGTTTTTAAATTATATTTGTTTATTTCATTAAGCATTAATTTGTCATAATTGTAAGCTCAAAATTATATTATATGAATGATATTAATTCAGGGATGTGTAAACTGATTTTAAGAACATCCACGAGACTTACGAACTAAATAAAAACAATTTTGATAAAAATTGTTAAAGAAAGAAAAAAGGAAGTGAAAATATTTAAAAATCTCTTAAAATTTCAACTTAAAACCTGGAGCCATAGCCAATTGTCTTTGATCTACGCTAGCGTTTAGTACGAAACCGGTATTAGCAGATGTTTTTTTGTTGCCTGTAATAATACCAGAGATAATCTTACCTCCGCTACCACTTGCTGCTAAATCATCTTTACCGAGTTGCTTGAACTGTGATCCGCCTGATGGTGGCTTCGGAGAAGCCAACGCTTTGCGTGCGCCTAACTCGCTTTTGGCTGGCCAGGTGGGAAACATGGAGGGATCTATTGGTATCGGCAATTCCTTAAAGTAGACATGTTTTAAGGCAGATTCAGCAGTGAAACGTTGCCGAGGATCATAGGTCAGTAAACCTTGTAGAAAACCTACACCGTTATCACTTGTCCTCTGACCCAGATATTTACGTAAACTGGACACCGGATATTCAGCAAATTGTGAATTTTTGCTAATCATATTTTTAACTGCTGGCAAATTATTATATCCTGGCCATATCTTTTCATTAGGAGTGCCAAGTAACTGAAAATAACCCATATTGTTTTGTTTTCAAAATGTGTGTATATATATATATATATATATATATATATATATATTAAGAAATGTATAATATACCTTAAAGATTCTATTAAGTTGATCAACTTCAGACTTCCCGGGAAATAGCGGTGCCATCTGTAAAAATTCGGCAAATATACACCCCACTGACCATACATCTATTGGTGTTGAATATTCTGTGGAACAGAGTAGCAATTCTGGAGCACGATAGTACAAGGTAACAACCACGGACGTGTACTCTTTTAATGGTGAGCCATATTCACGAGCCAAACCGAAATCACCAACTTTCAAAATGCCTTTGTGTGAAAGCAAAAGGTTCGACGTCTTGAGATCGCGATGCAATATCCAGTTGTCGTGTAGGTGAGCCACTGCTTTTAGCAATTGTTGCGTTAGACATTTTATTTCTGCCGGTAAAAATGATTGTTTTCTTTCCTTCATAGTTTCCATGAGTGATTTCAAATCGTGTTCTACATAATCCATAACTATGTAAATTTTATCCATATTAGAACCTACCACAATTTCTCGTACAGTAACAATATTTGGATGTTGTCCTTTAAGTAACGTATTGATTTCTCTAAGTGAAGTTATAGGGAAGCCCTCCTTTTCCTTTTCCATCTTAAGACGTTTCAAAGCGACGATTTCGTGTGTACGCTTATCTTTGGCCCTATATACCACGCCATAAGTACCCTCCTCAATACGATTCAAGCATTGAAACTCTTCAACTGATCGACAACCTTGTATACCGGGATAATAGTTAGGCAATGGTTTTCCTTTATCATCTAAGGCGGGTAAATCAGTTTCTAGCTTTAACTCATTGCTTCGTTTTTCGTTGAGCTTTGCCGTTTGTTCCCGTCGAAAATTTTCTTTCATATCACGCTCTTCGCTTCGCGATCGAGAACGTGATCTTGACCGACTATGACTGTGAGACGATCTTGAGGGAGACCGAGATGGACTCAAAGAATGTATACTCCGTGACCTACTGTGTTCCGTAGAAGTGCGAGAACGAGAATGTGATCGTGAAGAGACGGACCTAGAATTAGGAGAATGTGAGGATCTTGACCTAGAGCGACCAGCTGTACGAGAATGACTACGTGACCCCGAACGACTGAGTGAAAGTGTCAAAGAATGTGAGCGTGAAGATCTTCCGTGGCGTTTATTCTCGTCATCGTCATCCTCATCATCTTCGTCAGAATGTGGTTTAAAAACTTGCTTTTTCTTCCTCTTCGCATCTCGCTTTTTTTGCTTTGGTGATTTTGACAACTCACCTATGGAAAGAGGACTATTAGGTAGAGAAATATCGACTTCGCTTTCATCGCTGTCTTTCTTCTTTTTGCTAATTACAGTTCCTCTTTTATAACTACGTTCACTTTCCGTAGCACTCTCACTAACGCTGTTATCTTCTTCATCATCAGAGCTACTATCCGAAGCAGTACCATCCTCCCCATGCCGATTGTCCCCTTCATTTTCTTCTTCTTCTTCCTCTTCTTCTTCCTCCTCCTCCTCCTCCTCCTCCTCTTCCTCATCGCCATCGCTGTCCTTTGACTTTTTGGAACGTTTTCGTTTAGTTCTGTCTTCCCCCTCATCGGATTTTTTACGTTTAATAATATGCAAGCCGGCAGTCACGCTGGCGGCCACAGCGGTGGGACTCAAAGCGTCGACTGCGGTACCTCGCTCGCGTAGAATTTCTCTACGAGCTTCCAATTCCTTACGAGCAATTTCTTTGCGCTTCTGTTTCTCTTGCTCAGCGGTCAGAAATTTCGCTCTACGAGCCATTAATTCTGGATCCTCGACGGCGCGACGCTTTTCTGGTGCTTCTATTAATTTAGATGACGTTATTTCCTCAAGAGATGAAGCACGTTTTTCATGTTTCTCCTTATGGCGTTTATGTTTCTTACGCTGAGTATGACGCGGATGTTCGCCCTCTGGGCTATCAAAGACTTCAATGATATTCTGTTCCTTGACTTTTTCTCGGCGGGTTTTGTGATGTTCACTTTTAGAGGTAGATCTCTGGTCATGACCACGTTCTTCATAAGATCTGTTATTACGTTCATAAAACTCAATGCTATCATCTTTCACATATTTGTGGCGTTTACTTAACAATCGAGAGCGCAAATCTTGCTCAAGACTCTCAGGATCTTTTGCATGGTCATAATTATATTTTGTACGCCGTTCTACATCTACATCCTGATGATGTTTTCCCCCACCATAGGATTGTTGTGTGTGTTGATGCTGTTGCACATGATGATGCTGACGTTGAACATGATAATCGGCGGGCGGTTGATGATGGTAATCTTGTCTCCTTTCATAATAATCTTGGCGGTGACGGACATTTACTGAAGCATGATGTTGATATTGTTGGTACGATTCTTGGTGATGATAGGCAGCACTACCGATATGATGACTTCGACGCTCGTAATGTTTCGCATGATAACGTTTTTCGAATTCGCGACCATCACCTTCGTAGCTACCGCTTTGCCTTTGATGGTGATGATAGCGCGGCTCTCTCTCCTCCCTCTTTTGCACATCACGGCGATCAATATCACTACGTCGTTCATTTCTACCGTCCCGATTATAGTCTTTCTCGCGTTCCTTGGCTTCGCCACCACCTCCATCTGAAAGCCGTTCCCGGTGTTTACGTTCTTTGGAATGTTTCTTATCTTTGCCAGATTTCTCTTTGCGCCTGCCACCCGTCGCATCTCTAATAACATTGGCCTGTGGTGGTTTTATATCCAACGAGTCGGTATCATCATCATCACTAAATTTAAAAGAAATTAAACGAAAATTGTTTTGGTTTTTGTAAAAAACACATTAAAACGCAAAAAAAGAAAAGAGGAAAAGGAAGAATAACACTCTAAAATTGGACTGCTTTTATTTGAGCTTGAAGTTGAGTGCCTTTAATATTCCCGCAGTTTCTTTATTCTCTCTTTCCGCTTAAGCGCTTCTTACATTCCTCATTTCATAAAGTTCGAGTATCACGTCCAGTTTACGGCAAGTATTGCACAGTGCGTACTTGATTTTTGTTTAAATCCATCATCTCCAGCTTTTTAATGGCCAATTTACGTTTAAACATTTTAAAAAATTCGACCCATAGATTTCTTTGAAAAATGATTAGAAATAGATAGATTTAGGCGGAATATTTTGCAGTTAAAAATTTTACCGAG